ACACCGAACGGGCCTTCTCCTGGCAGGAGCAGCCAGGAGCAAAGCAAAGGCAAAGCCCAGCGGCGGCTCCGCAGTCCAGGCGGCACAGGACACCCACCTGGGGCAAAGCGGAGCAGCGACGTGTGTCTCAGCCTCTTCATGTGCTCGGTTTTGTCTGCTGCAGTGAGCCGTGTGGATACCACACCCAGCTCCATGGCCAACAGCTGCGGGAACAAAGGAGTCACACGTACACACCACCACACAGCACAACACAACGTGCGCGACACGGGCGCTGCCATCGCGTGGGATGTGTCAGATGCACGGCAAAGCGGAGCAGCGACGTGTGTCTCAGCCTCTTCATGTGCTCGGTTTTGTCTGCTGCAGTGAGCCGTGTGGATACCACACCCAGCTCCATGGCCAACAGCTGCGGGAACAAAGGAGTCACACGTACACACCACCACACAGCACAACACAACGTGCGCGACACGGGCGCTGCCATCGCGTGGGATGTGTCAGATGCACAGCCCTGCGTGCAGCCGCGGCGGGGGCAAGAGGACTGGGAACGGATTTCTCCAGGGCCTCAGTGGTGCATCTCAGTGCTGCGCGGGGCACAGGGAGGACGGGGAGCAGGGGGTGTCACCCTGCCAAAACGGGAGGACCGGGAGATACGAGAGCCTTGGTACCGCAGCTATGAAGTACCAGCACGTGAGGGCGAGGTGCAGAGACAATCGCTTTATTGGGTTTGTGGTTTATGAAAAGGGAGTGAGAGGTTTGAAGTAGATGGGGGAGCCTTGATGAGTGGCTGAAAGGATAAATAGGGGAGCACATAGGCCATGGAAAAACTGATAATTATAAGGGGCAATAAACAGGGGCTGGAGCTCCCGTCACACAAGTGCGCCCACCCAGAAACGCCCTTTGCAGCTCTGCTCGCACCCCGCTCTCCCCTGCGACCATCCCAAACGCAGCAGTCCTACACAGCCCTCTCCCCGCCATCCTCCTACCTCCTGAACTCGGAGCGCAAAATCCTCGCTCAGCTCTTCCGCTCGTCTGGGGACAGACGGCATCCACCTGGATGGGGACAACAGCACTGGGCCGACCGCGCCGGGGGCAGCCCCGCCGGGATCAATGGAGCATCCCCGCCTGGGCTCGCCTCTCCCATGGGACCAGCCTCAGACCCCCACGCCAGCTCGCAAACGGCACGGCACGGGAGACAGGACTGGCTCATTGAGCCCTCATTAGCACTCGGGTGTAACATGCGAAGCGTCTCCTAATGAAGTTCCCAGAAAGGCCCCAAGTGAGGAGCCGCTGCCCTTCATAGGAAAGCGGAAAACAGCTCAGCAGGGCTGGAGCCAGACACGGCTGGGAAGGCTGCAGCACAAGACTCAATGCCCTGACCCCTCAGTTTGACTCTGAGCCCCTTCTGCTGCTCTGAAGCCCGTTACACCAGAGCTGCTCAGCCCGTAGGGGCTCACCTGGCCCCAAGAGGCATCTGAACCAGCTCTGTGGTTCACAGGGACGAGGCAGACACCAGAGCTGCCTGCAGGGAATTGCCCACAGGACCTGAGCGACCAAGAGGTGAATTCCTGCAGAGCGGCTGCTTCAAAAATACACCCGAAACTGGACACAGAGCCCCGAGAGTCTCCTCTGCTTCACCAACCGAACCAGCAGCCACAGCCCCATCCAAAAGCTGGAGCTGGCACAGGCCAAACGACGCTGAACAAAGCCACGCCGAGTGACGGTGACCGGGGCACGCGCTGGCACGCACCAAAAGATCTCGTACTACTGCGGCAAAACCGCCAGCTCTCTGCCCGCCCCAAACCCTGCCCCAAATGAAGGAGAGCGAGCGAGATAGTACCTTACTTGATAAACTGTGAAGGGAACAAAGAAGGTCCAGAGCAGCTCTGCAATCCAGGAGGAGTCAGCCACGCTCTGGGGAAGAGAGCAGAGTGAGACGGCAGCTCCGCAGGAGAGGGGCCGGGTCTGCACGGGGCAGCAGGGGG